CCGGCCTGCCTGACTACGCCTTACACTACGCTGACTGTCCATTCATCCATCCCGCATGGATCAGTCCCTGCTGCCAGGCCTACCAGCCTCCCTCTTCATGTCAGGCTCTATTCCTGCAACACCTCTGACGGTACTCTCTACCACTGCCGGACGTACTCAGGGGTCGCGACCTGGTCTCAGTCTGCTCCAAGTCCATAACCACCATCAGGGCCCCTGGTGAATAAGCAGATTGGGACTTAGACTCCGCGCCCTGAGGAACCCCGTGCTGTGGGTTGCTAGAGATACCGCCAGGCGGTGTCTGACATTGGCTCAGAGAGGTGTTTGAAAAGAAGATGTACAGGGATTGGACAAAAATATGGAAACACTACATGATTTACAGGTGTGAAAGTGATGACATGTTTTGCATTAAAAGTGGAAGTGATGTAACATTCTTTTGCTTCCACTGTATGATGAGACATCTGGGTAACAGGTGGAAAGCCTCACTTTTGTAATTCATTGCGTGCGCTGCCAGCAATACGGAGTCATGTCAGAGCTTACTGAGCTTCAAAGAGAGCAAATTGTTGGTGCCCACTTAGCTGGTGTCTCTGTGAGTTGCCAATTTATTTGCTGTGTTGTAAAGTATCAAAGTTTGTAACGGCATATACAGTTTATGGGAAACCGTCGTCGTCTGATAAGCATAAGCATGGTCGACATGGTCAACTGACCAACAAAAGGACATTGCGCAGGACTGTGACCCGGAATAAGAAAAACTGCTGCAAAAGTGACTGCAGAGTTTAATCTGAGTCATCCAAAGCCTGTGTCCAAAAAAAACTGCAGAGGAAATTTCATACGCAAAACAATCACTGGCGAGCTGCCATTGCCAAACCACTAGTGACCAAAATTAATGCTCAGAAGAGGAGAGAGTTGTGCAACACCCATAATTTGTAGACTATCACTCAATGGATATAATATGGTCCAATGAATTGAGCTTCACACTATGCCCGACCATGGACATGTTTACGTGTAGCAAACACCATCCCAGGCTTACGACCAGGACTGTCCTGGTCCAACGGTAAAGCATGGTGGTGAGGTAATCATGGTTTGGACAGCTCTGTCTTGGTATTCTGCAGGCCCCATGATCAGCTTGAAAGGCAGAGTCACTGCCAGGGACTATGTACAAATTTTGGCCCTCCATGGTGCAGACATGGTTTCCTGAAGAGAGCGCCATTTACCAATATGATAATGCTATAAATCACATAGTTGGTGTCAAATCATGGTTTGATGAGCATGCAGATGAAGTCTCGCACCTTCCCTGAGCGCCGCAGTCTCTGGACCTCAATATCATAGAACCACTATTGTCAGTTTTGGAGAACAAGGTTCGGGCTTGTTTTCCGCCTCTGACATCTTTGCAAGAACTGGAACGCTTTTGCATGAAGAGTGGTATCAGATTTCATCCAAAACTTATATTTGTCAATTCCCAGGAGAATCTATCTTTGATGCCAAAGGCGGTCCAACACCGTATTCGGTAACTATTTTGTTCTTTTACCTGGTGTTTCCATAATTTTGTCCAACCTAAAATTTACTGCATATGGAATGATGGCTATTCATACAGATGGTCTGCAGCTGTATGACGCAGGCAAAGATTGATATCTTTATGCCCCTGTTTTATTTATTTATTTATTTTTTTAGCCCAGCTTGAGTTGTATGATAGCCCTTAGGCCTTTACTCATAGGCCTACCTGTCAGTTTCTCAGGTGGACCTGATCAGAAGCTTCATGTAAGTCTATGGACAGGTGGATGTAAAAGGACACTTACCTCCAAGTCTGGCCAGGTCCAGAAAAATTCTGTTTAAAGATCCCCAGCTGAACAGACCAGATATGGCCTTGTGAAAGAACCCTTGCTTTGTTCACTTGTCACTGTTTATTCAACATAAATCTGCCTTCACATAAAAATGTTTGAACAAAATCTGCAAATTACACTATGAGGAAACCTAAAAACATCCAGAAAATGTACTATTGTTACATACAGTAGGTTAAAGGTGCTTTAAGAATGCAATGGGGTTGATTTACTAAAGGCAAATAGACTGCGCACTGCAAGTGAACTTGGAAGTACACTGAAAGTGCACTTGCTCTAGATCTGAGGGGAACATGCAAGGAAAATAAAAAACAGCATTTTTTCTTGCACATGGTTGAATTATAGAAATCAGCAGAGCTTCCCTTCATTTCAGTGCTTCCCCTCAGGTCTAGAGCAATTGCACTTGTAGCACACTTCCAAGTGCACAGCCTATTTGCCTTTAATAAATCAACCCCTATATCTACTCTAGCCTAGCCTTCAACTTTTATGCCACAAACCCCATTGGACTCCTCCCCGCAACAAAGACCCTATCTTTAAAAAGTCAGGCTATAATTCTAGGTTTTTTTCAACATTTCCTGTCCTTCTGTGCAACACCAGTATTAATAGGCAGTAAACAGCCTGATGTGATCATACTTGTGGAGCTCAGGAACCCACTCTGGAGCTCAGGAACCCCCATGTGCCTCCTTATGGGAGGAGAGCTTGGTCCTTTCCAACCATTCCCAGTGCACTTGCTCCTTTGTTGTTGACTTTACTTATTTACTCTTCTATACTTAACTTTCTTTTACTCTTACCTGTCTCCCTGTCCCTGTGGGACCTGAACGATACATGGTTCCTATACCACACCAATCAAATTGTTTTATTATGCACTTGTTTGCCACAGCATTTCTCTGTCTCACCCATTATGTCTCTCCAAACCATCTAGGGGCAGGCTGATTCGATTGTCGTACAACTTGGGTACAAGCAGTTAAGATCACCTGTGGAGTAATTCTTTTTTATGAAGTATTAGGGACTTAAAAAACACTATTCATGAGGACTTTAACCACTTGCCCTCCAAAGGATTTACCCCCATTCCTGACCAAGCCATTTATTTGTGTTATGGTGCTGCCTTACTTTAACTGACAATTGCGCGGTCATGCAACGCTGCACCCAAATTAAATTTATGTCCTTTTTTTCACACAAATGGAGATTTCTTTTGGTGGTATTTGATCGCCTCTGCGGTTTTTAATTTTTGCGCTATAAACAAAAAAGGACTGACAATTTTGAGGAAAAAAAAACAATATTTTTGACTTTTTGCTATTAAACATGTCCAGTAAAAAAAATTTAAAAAATGAAATTTCATCATAAATTTAGGCCAAAATGTATTCTGCTACATGTCTTTGCTAAAATAAATTCCAATATGTGTAAAATAATTGGTTGACGTGAAAGTTATAGCGTTTACAAATGATGGTGTATATATACTGGATTTTTTTTTTTTTATATATATATATTAGTAGTGGTGGCAATCAGAGACTTATAGTGGGACTGCATTGGACAGGAAGGGGTTAACATCTGGGGCCATCAAAGGGTTAACTGTGCTGTTTTACTGTTTGTGTGTGTTTCACTGTGTCAGCACATTGCTTTGTATGGCTCTGCTATGCAGAGCCATACAAAGCAATGTGCAGGAGCTGACAGCGGAGAGATCTGTATTATTTACATACAGGTCTCTCCTCCGTCAGTGATACTCGGCGATCACTGGGTGCTGGAGAGGAATCACTGGCTGGGACCCGGTGATCGACAGCTGAGGCCACCAATGGCGGCGCGAGCAGGGCTCGTACGTGCCCCCTACCTGGAAATGCTAAATTTTGTATATATATACAGTGAAGGAAATAAGTATTTAATCCCCTGCTGATTTTGAATGTTTGCCCACTCACAAAGAAATGATCAGTCTAAATATCAAATGGTAGGTGTATTGTAACACTGAGAGACAGGATAGCAACAAAAAATTCATAAGAAATGCATGTCTAACAAATTATGCACTGATTTGCATGTTCATGAGGGAAATAGGTATTTGATCCCCTATCATTCAGCAGGATTTCTGGCTACCAAGTGTCTTTCATACAAGTAACAAGCTGAGATTAGTAGCAGTCTCTTAAAGGGAGTGCTGCTAATCTCATGTTGTTTCCTGTATAAAAGACACCTGTCCACAGAAGCAAGCAAACAATCAGATTCCAAACTCTCCACCAGAAACGCAGGACAGTCCATTTACCATGATTTCCTATGGGACATGTTCACATCTCTGCGTTTTTACCCAGTGTGTTTTTTGGAAAGGCCAGGGACCTTTTTGAACGCAAAAAGTTGCATTTTGTTGCTATAGACTTCAATGGAAGCTCTGCACAAAAGTATGTATTGTGTTTTTGCAGCGTATTTGATGTGTTTTAAATTTGCCTAGCACCAAGAAACACAACCCCAACCTGCATCAAAAACACCAGTGCAAAAACGCAATGCAAAAACGGCTCAAATGCAACCTGCATAGGTGTGAACCTAGCCTAGATGCGCTCTGAAGGAACGACATACCCATGCCATTCCTTCAGAGCACTGTGCCATGGCGCTGGAGTGACATCATCGCGGCTCGACCACTCAGACCTTGTGAACCCGGAAGGAAGACCAGGTGAAGATGGAAGCCCGGGGAGCTGTGACAGCGCTCCATTGGAGGGCTTCGTTTCGAGGTAAATCCTTCAAAATGTTCTACAATGCAATGTATACTATCACATTATGCCTTCACCTTACAGTGTTTTTTTCTGGATGCGGTTTACTACCGCTTGAAATATTGATTTCTAAAGGAGCATAAAGAAACCACTGCACTCCCTCTTTTAAAACAAATCAGCAATGGCGGATTCCCTCTTCCTGGTTTTCACCCTGACAAGCCCCCACCCTTCCCAAGGGGAAGTCCACTCTCCATCCCACACACAGTAAGACGCTGTGCTGGTACTGCGCATGTCCATCAAACAGCCTATCCTACCAAACCGGATGGGCGGGATTTCTTAGTGGCGCCTGAGGAAACAATAAACTACGGCGAGGCCAATGGGCAGCTAGTGTTTAGGTGATCGATCGCACCGACAGCCAATCCCAGGTTTAGCTCGGTTACAAGGGTTAGCTCTGCGGCTGGAGGCTCTTATCTCTTCTCAAGATGGCGGCGGTGTCCTCGGCAGCGGCACTGCGTGGGGCAGACTACGAGAACGGGCTTCGTGGCGGGTCTGGCTCGGCAGGTGCAGGCCAGGATCCCGGGGAGGACGAGCCTATGGGCCGCGGAGGGCTGGAACTCGATCTGGAGTTGCTGGGCCCGGGCAGAAGAAACCGGAGGATAGGCCCGGGGAACTGAGCGGAGATCCCGCCATCGAGGACCCGGTGAGAGTTGAGTGGTGGGGGCAGGATGTGAGGGGAGCCTACGGGGGGCAGGATGTGAGGGGGAGGAGGCTCCAGGGGAGCCATGATCTATGATTGCTCCTGAACATAGCTAGGCCTCATAATGTGCTCACACCTCCAGCCATCAGATCAATGCGCTGTATTCTGGACTGGCTTGTGAGGCCCGGACCACAGGCTCTGCACCGCATGGAGTGTGTAGGAGGCCTCACCGTGAATAGTAATGGGAGGCATCCAGATCACACCTGATCAGGTGTGCCCACGATTACTGCTTTAGGCTCATCAGATGGCCATGTCTTGGGCCTCATGCACATGGCAGAAGAATGCCTCCGCTACGGGCGCCTGGCTGGTTCTTTTGTTTTCCTTTAAGGATGCGTGGTATTTGCGCAGCAGTTTATCAAATGCAAAATACTTTAATGCATTTTAGTGCACACACGTTATATCCAATTTTTTGGTAACAAAAGATGTTCCACCAAGTCAACAGGTAGCACGTTACGCTTTAAAATTGCGCATGCCCATGGCATGGTGACCCAATACAGCACATTAAAGTGTTACTAAACCCACAACAGTCTGTATATGCAGTACAGCATGCTTGTTACTCACTGGAACCTAAGGGGTTAACCCTCTGCATTGTATAAAAAGGCTGATCCTTTCTTCTCTGTTCCTCCCCTTCTTCCAGTGTCCCCCTCTTATCTCCTGTCACTCTGCACATGCTTGGGTTGCTGTGTATTGCTGGAGAGTTTTTTTTTTTTTTTCTTGGGAGAATGCATGTGATCATCACAGGGCCAATCAGCACTGTTCAGACAGAGGGTCAAGGGTTATGCATCCTCCTAGAGCAGAAAGAAACTCCCCCTGCAAGCTTTAACATTTACTAAACTAATTACATGTCCATGTTGTGTGTACTGTGGGAGACCACATAGAGTGAATGCAGGGTCCTGGGTTTAGTAACACTTCCAGGGGTGATGCTTTAAGTCTTTCCAAATTACCAATTTAAGTTTACCATAGATGGATCACATCTTGGTTGTTTCAACAGGTCCAGCCGAGATTGAGTATCTATGGGAAGGCTGATTGTATGGAAATCAATCCTGTGTTCGACATCAGTACAACCAACCTGTTGGATATTGTGCATGAGTTTAATGCCGGTGGCTTTAGCTGCTAGCAGTGATCATTGTGTTCTGCTGGGGAAGGCTTCCTGCTAGGCAAGCACAATAGCACTGCAGGAGGGATTTGGCAATTGAGTGATTTTATTTCCACCTACAGTGAAAGCAAAGAAAGTTCTATAACCTATGACGCTGCGTTAGGCTGGCTATACGTTACGTTGTTCTTGTACAATTTTCCTTCAGATTTCCAAAATCCTACAATATGAGGTCAAATCTAAACACTTTTAGTTTGTATGCAATCAGACAAGCCCTTGCACTTCACAGTTGAAGGTCAAACTAAAGGAAATTGATTAAGAAAATTGTACAAGTGTGCAGAATTATTGCTTTAACTTTGATATTCATGGTGATAATCTGCATGCCTTGCAATCACCATTTATGTATGCGTGTAGTACCCACATGCATGGGGGGGGGGGGGGGCACTTTAAAGTGTTACTTAACCCAGGACCCTGCATTCACTATGTCCGGTCTTCCTCAGAACATGTTAATACAATTATTTTAGTAAATATAAACTGTTAAATGTTCTCATCGGCAATATATAGTATTCTTATGACTGTGGCTGAGCACTGGTTAATGTGTTAGGAGTTTTCCTTCTCCCCTGACTGTCCTATGAGGCTGCAGGATCCCTGACCCTCAATCTGGGACTGATTGGTCCTGTGCTGATCACATGCACTCTCCCAAGAACAAAAAAAAACCTCTAGCAATACACACCAAACTGAGCTTGTGCAGACTTGTCACTGCTGCTCTCTACTATGGCAGATGGATTGGGAACAGCAAAATGAGATGATCAGAGAAGACAGGATCAAACAGCCTTTTCACACAATGTGCAGGATTAATCCCTTAGGTTCCATATGAGCATAATTTACACACACAAACTTATTTTATTGGCTAGAATAAGTTGTCATTTTAGCCAGTAGAATGACTTTCACTCATACCCCTATAAACACATATAAATGCACACATAAACCCTGTTTAAGACTCAACATTGAGAGGCATTTTTTTTTTTTTTTTTTTGCAAAACCGCATAAGTTCATACGCCCAGGTTGGATTTTGATCTATAATTAGAATACATGATCGTAATCATCTTTCAATCACGTGATTTCATTTACTGAACTGAAACAATAGTATTTGTGAACTGAAGTGGGAACTTGTGAAATTTGGTGCAGCTGTCGTAAGCTGGCCTTAGACTGAAAATTGACAAATTCTGCAGGAATCAACCAAATTTCAGTTAATTTATGGGCAGGCTGGTTGTATTAATGTCAGTCTACTGATCGACTTCAGTATAACCAGCCTGCCCCCCCCCCCCCTTTTTTTTTTTTTTTTTTTTTTTTTTGTATGATTGCTGCTGCCGGCTATAGCCAGCGGAGGGGATACTTGAATTAACAGCTACCTGCTACCACTTCCACTGCGATCGCAGGCTGAAAATAGGTCAGTATATACACTGTTCAAAAAAAAAAGACACTTTGAAAACGCATCAGATGTCAATGGGGAAAAATATGCTGGATATCTATACTGATATGGACTGGGTGATGTGTTAGGAATGTAAGGATGGCCCATTGTTTGATGGAAATGAAAATCATCAACCTACAGAGGACTGACTTCGAAGACACCCAGAAAATCAAAGTGAAAAAATGATGCAGCAGGCTAGTCCATTTTGCTGAAATTTCATTGCAGCAACTCAAAATGGTACTGTTTAGTTTGTATGGCCCTCACGTACTTGTATGCATGTCTGACAATGTGGGGGGTATGCTCCTAATGAGACAACGGACGGTGTCCTGGGGTATTTCCTCTCAGAACTGGACCAGGGAATCACTGAATTCCTGAACAGTTTGAGCTGCAACCTGGCGGTGTCAGATGGACCGAAACATGATATCCCAGAGGTGTTCTATTGAATTTAGGTCAGGCGAGTGTCAGGGCCATTCAATGGTATCAATTCCTTTATCCTCCAGTAACTGCCTACATACCCTCGCCACAGGAGACCGGGCATTGTCGTGCACTGGGAGGAATCGATAACTAATGGTAGGGTGCCATTGTCTGGCCTAGGGGTCTCCACAAACTATGGCCCTCCAAGTGTTGAACTGCAAGTCCCATGAGGCCTTGCAAGACTGACAGCCACAGGCAAGACTCCCAGAGGCATGATGGGACTTATAGTACTTCCAACAGCTGGAGGGCCATAGTTTGGAGATCCCTGGTCTAGCCTGTAGAGGTCTGTGCGTCCCTCCATGGATATGCCTCCCCAGACCATCACCAAAACAGTCATGCTGACCGATATTACAGGCAGCAGAACATTCTCCACAACTTCCCCAGACCCTTTCACATCTGTCACATGTGCTCAGGGTGAACCTGCTCTCATCTGTGAAAAGCACAGGGTGCCAGTGGTGGACCTGCCAATTCTGGTGTTCAGTGGCAAGTGCCAGTCGAGCTCTATGGTGCCGGCAGGGAACACAGGGCTCACTAGAGGACGACGGACCCTCGGACCACCCTCAATCTGTTTGATTGTTTGGACAGACATCACACCAGTGGCCTGCTGGAGGTCATTTTGTAGGGCTCTGGCATTGCTCATCCTGTTGCTCCTTGCACAAAGGAGCAGATACCGGTCCTACTGATGGGTTAAGGAACTTCTACGGCCCTGTCCAGCTCTCCTAGAGAACTGCCTGTCTCCTGGAATCTCTTCCATGCTCTTGACTGTGCTGGGAGACACAGCAAACCTTCTGGCAATGGCATGTGTTGATGGGCCATCCTGGAGGAGTTGGACTGCCTGTGCAACCTCTGTAGGGTCCAGGTATCACCTCATGCTACCAGTAGTCCCACTGACTCTAGCCAAATGCAAAACTAGTGAAAAACAGTCAGAAAAGATGAGTAGGGAAAAAAATGTCCGTGACCCTCACCTGTAAAGAAAAAAAAAAAAATTCCTGTTTTGCAGGTCGTCTCATTGTTGCCCATCTAGTGCACCTGTTGTTAATTTCATTACCACCAAAGTAGCTGAAACTGAATAACAACCCCCTCTGCTACTTAACTGACCAGATCAATATCTCCGGAGTTTTTGGCTTGATGCTGTACTCTGATTAAAACGTGTTCCTTTCATTTTTTTTGTGCAGTGTTCATCTTATTTTTACATAGGTTAGGCAACATAGGTAGCAGGATGGGGAGGAAGCATTTTTAAACAATGTTAGATATGAATTCTACTTTAACTGGACAAGCTGATTGGTAGCTATTAGGGATGCACTGATATATTGACTGCTGAAAATTGCCAGCCAAAACTAGGGTTATGCATTTTGCCAGTAGGGAAAAAAAAGTGCTGATAATGGCATTCTGTGCCGCTTAGACTTTGGTGCGAAATTGTGTGCCCCGTAGACTTCAATATCAAAATTCTAGCCACATTAATTACATTTTAAAAACTGTCAGTGTCAGTTTTTTTTTGGCCAGGTACATCCTGAATTTTCAGTTTCAGTGCACCACTAGTTACTATGTACGTTTGCTGTAGGTTCTGTCTAGTCTGGTTTTAGTAAATTCCACCATATTTACTTTATCATGCTTCATAACAAGCAATTTGAGCTTAATACTATGTAAGCAGAATGTTGTATCTAAGCAGAGCACCGTGGCACCACATGA